GGTTGGTTGCAGATGATTTATTTGGCATTTGTTACAGGAAGAATGGGGATTGATATGCAGATATCAACTGGAGAGAGACTCCTCGCCGTATTTGCGCACGTGATTTCCCTTCCCAATTTGTTCCCGCCTCTCTCTTATAGAAGTCCACTTAAATAAACCAGTATATATTACAATGATGTCTGACGGTTGCGCTAAGTTTGTATCTGGCCTTTGTGTGCGTGGGCTTCGATCTAATGCCTTTGTTCCCCCAAGAACACATGCAAAGCTACTATTATCTCCCTTAGAAAGTCAATTAAAAATGTGCATTAATCAAAGGAGAAGGAAATGTGAACTTTTGGCAGGACATGGGTTTCAGTCTACCTTGGTGTCCTCGACCAAAGCCGACGGTCTATAAACCAAATCACATACCCACTGCATGCCCAAAAGCATGCGTTTGGCAAGCATTACGTGTACTTTCAAACACAAAGTTGGATTGGGACGCGGTGATGAAAACTAAGGGTTGTAGGTGTAATATATACTGGACTGTTTAAGTGGACTTTTATAGAAGAGGGACGAAAACCAATTGGGAACGCGAATCACGTGCCTGAGGACAGTGAGGAGTCTCTCCGGTTGATATCTCCTATTCGGCCAATCTGCATTCCAATCCCCATTTTTCCTTATCTAATGCCAAATAAATCATCTGCAACCAACACTCTCTTGAAGTCCGTGGTTCAAGGCGGGGGTAGGCTGGCAGTCCTTACAGTAGGGACTAACTTTCGCAGTAAGGCTAGTAGCCAATCCAAATATTTAGCTACATGTTTAATCTTCTGACCGGATTCACATGTGATTAGTGGAAGTGTGCACAGTTTTGCATAGCAAAACTTTAAAAGTAAGATGTCCCTGCTGATAAGCGGCTCTAATTAATAACCGTAATTGGGAAGCAATGAGCAGTAATGTGTCGTCAAGTTTCTAGATAATCTTAGTGTTGTTATAGAACTTTTGTAATGTTAAGCTTTCGCTAATGTTGTAATGCCAATTTAGTGTTTAAGTTTTGAAATTCGCTTTATAAAACGGTATTTAAATAAAATATTAAGTGACAAACACTTCTCCGTCTGGGAAGTGTTGTTTGGTCGCATAAAATCACAAGTATAGGCAGTCAAAGCTGTTCTGGGGTTTAAAACTGTCCCCTCGTGGTTGTATAATATTGCTTCTGACTTTGGGGTAATCTGTAACCTGTCTTCCACTTTTCCGGTTTAAAATTAACATCCATTTTGTTTTGCTGATCCGCGGTCCCTGTCTACTGGCTCTCTCCTGAGCGTCAGATTGCGTTTCAGTGGTTACAACCACGCTGTACAATGTTCCTTTGATATTTGGTGATGTCCTTCGACTTAGCACACCTTCTGCAGATTTTGGATGATTTGTCATTGGTGGAACCTGATAGTGATACCGTTCGGCAACTTCAGGAATGTCTTTCTGCTCCAGATAGTTCATTTGAATCTCCCAATTCTCAAACTATTTTTCTTACCAGGTTAGCCGCCAAACTCCTCTCAAACCCAACGTCGCCTTCCTGTTATGACCTTCTGTTGCTTGCCACATCAAAGGCTTCTGCTGACATTTGGTTTGACGTGCTTGTTTCGCATTTACAGCAAAAAGGCTTACAAGCTGTGGCAGTTAAGCTTTGTCTCAGTCTTATCTTGAAGTATTTTCTTGAATTTCGTCGTGTCCCTCATCTTTTGCTCGCAATAAGTTGCATGGCAACTCGGCTTTCAGGTTCTGCTTGTCACACCTTCCTTGTTGAAAAAACTCGACGTCTGTTACAACTGCCCACTCTTGTCACCAACTCGCTTAGGACTGCCCCCTGTCCACGCCTTTTTGAACCAGAAATCTATTTTCCTTTTGTCGTGAGACATGCCACTGAAGTCGCCTGTCCCATTCTTAACGGTGTGCTTGTTTCTCAATCATGTTTACTGGGTTTCGGTAAGGAAATTTGGAGGGCGGTTCTGCATCAGGTTTCTCGTTCAGTGGAGAACTCCATCACTTGGGGTGCAGCGCTTTCTCGGATTCAGGAGAGAGCCTTGGAAGCAACTCTGCTTCCTCTCCTTAACCAGGCGTCCCATCCCCACATGGTCACGCTGTGTCTTTCTTCCGCCCTTGCGCCGATGGAAAACCAGTTATTCCGTCTGTTTCATCGTCTCCTAATCTTTCGCAGCCTTACTCCTCGAGTTCCCATCAACATATTCGGTTTTTTGAGCGAGAACGCTGTTCCTGATTTGGTCGCACGAGTTGAAAGGGATCTAGGCTTATGTCTGCTTCAGTGTTGGTCAGATTCAACGGCTTTGCGAACCACTTCCTCGCAAAAACGCATATACTTGAATCAGGCACTTGTCGTTTGGGTTGGTACCTTTCGAGATTCTATCATCAAATCTCCATCTTACTCTGAAATGTTGTCCCATGTACTACGTGGGATAACCGTACATTTAGCCTGCAATTTGGAGGAGCAGAGGGTTTTGGGCATGGCTGTTGGTGAGTGGTTGATCGACCAGTTCCATAGCGGTGGAAAAGGAACAGCTGACGATGACTTACAAGTTCTCAAGTTTGAATATGTGGAGAACGAAGCTGTAAAGCTTGTGAAACCCCTATTTGAACCCATCCAGCCTTATCATAATCCTGAGAATCAAATGGACGAAAGTGGGTAATTTGGTTATGAAGTCTTCTTAAAGGCAGTTCTTGACTATAATGCTTATTTTTTAGATGTAGAGAGACTCTTCGCTTGCAATCCAACCGTACGGTTTACAAATACCGAAACGAAAATGGACAAAGTGGACAGTGATGACGATCCAGAAGAAGATGAAACGGGTGTAAGATTTCAGCCGCTTCCGGAGTATATTACACCTGCTCCCTCCGGCTGGCCTTTTCGTGCTCGTCGTCCACATTACCTCCGAGAATGCCTCGATGGTTTGGGAGGCGCTAAGCACAATCCTGACGATATGGCCAGCAACGAGGTGGCGTTGTCTTGCTTTGCTCATGCAGAGGAGCTCATTTACCGTCACAAAGGTGGCGCTGTGGATGAGGTTGCGGCGGTCTTCGCAGACACTCTGCTGCACATTGAGCCCCCTACCTGTCCATACGTCAGAGAGGTAAATGCCTCACGCCATCGCGCTTTGGTTGCCCTTCTGGTGACTTCGCCTCGTCGAACGGCTCGTTACCTCACTGGACAGCTGACTCAGTCTGGTCTTGCCCTTAACCAACTCTCTGCCGTTATTGCGGCACTCACTGATGGTGTGTGCTGTCTACGCTCTAAGTTCACTCCTGTGGCCGGCGACTTCTTCTTCCCCACCCTCCGAGCTACTCATCTGCTACTTAAGCGCCAACCCGGCGTTTATGCTCATCTTGACGATGCCGTGCTAGCTCGACTTGTGGCATCCCTTGGAGTCATGTATTCATGCGGTCGCAACTCACCCATGCTTCCACGAATGGCCGAGGGACTTTTGACTCTGAGTCCCCTTATCTTAACAAATTTTAGTGATCCTGCTGTGCGGAGATCATTCCTCTCTACCCTGAACGTTGTGCTTACCGTCACGCCCCCATCTGTATTCACTGCAAATCATGAACTCCTGCTTAATCCCCACTTGAAAGATATACTTTTCAAAACATTTCAGGCCGACCCTGATTTGGATTGCCAGCAAATGGCAGGAATTGCGCTGGGTTTCTTGCGCAAACAATTTGTCGAGTTACTTGGTGTAAATCCCAGTGACCTTGTGTTAAAAGATTGATCCCACCTCTGCTGTTTTTCTTCGCAGTACATTGTGTACACCTTCATGCTTTGGTGCTTTTGGTTTATTTAGTTACCGTAAATTGGTAGACCTGCTAACTTTTGATGCCTTTCTCGCCTTTGTTGCTATTTGTTTTCTTTTGAAGTCAGTTTATAGTTCGACCTCCTGTTCAGGCGTTCATGTGTATGACGGATTTGGTCTCGGTGTTAGCCGTAACACCACACGTTGTACTCTAATGTGCTTTCAATGATAAGTAGTAATCTCAAAATTCGAACTATCCATGACAGTTTTGTTGTACAGTTGAATGGAGCTCAGAAGCATGGAGTGTGACGAGCCAATTGAAGTAACGCCAGATGTTCAGGCCACTGAGGATGATAATTCGACCGAACTTCAGGTTGGTGGGAGGTCGCATGCCTCCCTTCACCAGCCTACCGTCCACGTGGAGATTTGTTTAACTCGTGGTAGCACTGCGTCGCGAGCCATTGTGTGTCGAGCTGTTGAAACGTACCTGCGGGCCAAACAAGGCGCTTGCAATCTTCCTGCCCATTGGGAACACATCTTAGTTGGCACTTCGCCTTCTGAGCAGATATTTTTCAACGAAAACATTGCTTCAGTGGGAGTACGTTTTGCTTCCACTATTCTTAGTATTACATTACAATGTTTTTGTTGCGATTTTTAAGTCTACGGATTCGATTTGAGGTCAGTGCAAGAATTTATCAACTGCTCACAACAGTGTCCATCTTCCACAATACTA